CCCTCTACAATTTTGAATATCAATTCCGTCTTTCTCTAATTTTTCCAAAATCATCATTGAAATATTCTCGGCGGCTTTACCTTCTGTTTCACTGAAATCGACAAATGATTCCACAACCTTCACTTTATCTCCATCGATCATAACATAGAGTAAAACTTGGCTCGTTTGATCCTTATGTGAAATATCAGGAGTGCTGTCGAATATCATGGAAAAGTGCTTTGCTTCTTTTACTTGCTTGATGACTTTGCTTCTTACGTTTTCTCCCAAAATTTCTATAAACTCGTTCTGAATAGTAGGAGACAGATAGGAAGTAGCAAACATGTTTCCCAGCTGGATTCTTAGATGATGTTCACGTAGCACTGGATCATATTTCGCCAACAAATCAACTAGCTCTATAAAATTTCCTCTATTTTCCGTTGCTTCAGTCTCGTTTCTCTCATAATTCATTCCTTCTCGGTGGCCTCGTAAAGCCAAATTCTGTTTAGCTAGGAATCTAATAATATCAAGCAATCTTGAAAGGATTTCCTTCCACTTTTTCACTTGGCTTTCAACAACTTCTTGTTCTTTTTTATCAATTGTTGCTCCACGAGCAATCCTAATTTCCAACTCCTTCCATTGTGTGAAATTCCGAACGTGAGCTGCACTGGATTCGTGCTCGGACATTCAAGGATTCAGTTTCCACCATATGTTGAATCCATCCTCAGAATTAAATTTTGAGTTACTTCTGTCTGAAAACAGTTTGCAACAAAAGCAGTAAAGAGGATTAACTTGCCGCCGATACAAAGGGATGGATTAACGTCTCCTGTAGCTGCAGATATAGGTGATGAGCAGACCCAAAAGTGCCGCCCCCCAAAAGTGCCGCCCGGGGCGGACCGCCCCCCCCGCCCCCCCCTAGCTACGCTAGTGTATCTAACATATATTAAAAAATATTAACGAAAATTCTTCTATATTTCAAAAACTTTATACAGTATTATTTTATTAACTAGTAACTTATATCCGTTATGATAAAATTCCCTGGTCGTGTCGATGTGTGTGTGTCAGGGGCGCACCCAGAAATTGAGTAGGGGGAAGGGGGGTCCAAATTACTGAGCGGAGCGAGCCCTTTCAGTGGGGGGTCCGGGGAGGTGCTGTAAGCCCTCTGGAATTTTTTTTTAAATCTGACCAATATTTGACGCCATTTGCACTGAATCTTAGGAAATAATCTGTGGTTGAAGATGGTGTAATTTAGCATCATAATCTTTGTATATAGACTTATATTACACTGATAATAGAAGTCATAAAAAATGTTTCAAATATTTTATTTACACAATTTTAAAATGCATGAATTTACTGCACTAAATATCGAGTATATAATATGGTTATTACTGTACTGAATGTGTAACAATAATTAAGCATTTTAATACTTGTATATAATGACTAACTAACACTGAACACTAACAGAGCTCATAAAATTTGCTTAACAGTTTTTGAACACCCGTAAAATACATTGCCTTTATTTTTCTGCAAGTACATTGGCAAATTTCATCTTCCTGGGATTTCTCTGTGTAAATGTGTCAATTAATTGGTTTATATCCACTGGTATATCTCGGTGCATGTGCAGTAATGTCAGTCTCTCATTCCCCATTGTTGATCTGAGTGTTGTTTTTATTCGTTTGTCCACTGAATGATCTTTCTGCAGAGCATGTCGTTACTGGCAGGGTGCACAGGATAATGAGCAGGGTCCTCACGTTAAGTGCATGGGAATGGCAGAGGTGGTGGAAGTTACCGTGGCGTGGGGTGAGGTCAGGGAAGCTGGCCCAACCTTCGTGTTACTAAGGTGTCGCCAGGTCAGGTGTGGGTTGGCCGCACCATGCAGTACCTGGAGGGGGGGTTTCCGGGCAACTAGGAAACCCCCCCTGGGTGCGCCACTGTGTGTACAGTTGTCCGGCCGAGTTGACACACCTGGACAGTCGACAAAAGCAGCACACACACGAGGCAGCCTGTTTATTGCTATAAGGTAACGACATTAATTTGCATGTAGTTAATTTTTTTATTTTTTTATTTAAGACATTGTTTACTCTTGCAGGATTGACAAATAAAGCATATAAATATTATGATGTGGTGTGGTAGTAGTGATGATGCTGTGGTGGTGATGTCGGCGATGAGTGTAGTGTTGGAAATGATGATGATGATGATGATGGTGGTGGTGGTGGTGATGGTGGTGCAGTATAACTTATGATATTTTCTATATCTGAAATATAATGAACATTTAATTCATGTTTTTAGGACAATATAAACAGTAGGGCGAGAATGACGACACATTTTCCTTCAACAATTAAAAATCATTAAACGAATAACACTATAAATAATTACAAGAGATTTATTGAAAACTCTTTAAACTATCATCAAAACAACTGAAACATGCATAACGAGGCTCAAACAATCCCCACCTTGTTTGTTGTTCACTGGAAATTCTAACCAATCAGAGGCTCGCATGGAAAATCTTTCACCCAATCACAGCGTTGTGCGAGTTGCTAATGTATTACGTGTTGGTCAGCTCCACCTCGGCCAGGTCAGTGGTGTCTTGACCTGCGGTGTTGAAGGGCTAAGTGTGGTATGAGAGAGGTTTTGGTTTATTTTATTATTTAAACTTTATTTTTTAGTTTGTGTTTATATTTTGTTAATATTGAACTATAATCGGGTGTTGGTTTAGTTAGAGTAGCTAATTCCATTTGTATATGTGATCTATTTTCACTACGTGTTTTGGTTTTTATGATGGGAATTTTTAATTTTTTTGGTTATGTGTTGACAGTATTGACCTAACGAGGGAGGTAGGAGGGAAGTGTGTGGTTCTGTAAGCAGTTTTTAAGTTTACAAATAACCGAGTTAAGATTAGAGTTTCATTGTGAATGTTAAAAAAAGAGATACACAAGGCAGCAGTCGGTGGAATATTTACGGTAAATGATTTGCTACTTCGTCTACAAAGCACTCGAGATGGTTTATGATTTATGTTTAGCTGTTCGATGTTGTTTCCCCCTTAATTTCCTTTATTCTTGATCTTCCCACTACGTTGACTTACGATCGTAGACTGAAGAAAGTAGGGATGAACTTAGGATAATATGAACGAATTATATAGACGCTTTTAGGTTGTAATTGTCGATCCCATCACCTCGCAGGAATTGTGCTAAAATGTCCACAGTAGTTGAGTTCTTTATGTAATTATTGTACTGTATTTGTCCTAGGGGCGTCCATCGTGAGTTAGACATCACTAAACTAGCGGTCTCGAGTTTTTATAACTTAAGTTACGTGATAAACTTTCAGGTAAGATATCTAGTGTTGGTCTGTTTTTGAGGGCTAGTTTTTCTTGAAGATTTCGTGACATTTTGGCTTCAGTTTGACCTTTTCACATTAATTTTACTCGGCGACATACGACTCTGGTTGTTGCAGCGGTAAAGTCATATTCGTAATCCTTCATTTATCTAGTGTTGGTAATGCTCCACACTAAAACTGTATACTATGGTAAATAGCCCGTGGCCTTCCGCACATAATTGACAAAAGTTATTGTTAGACTTTCCTATTTCTTTCGCCGACTTGGACTGTTAAGTGATCCAGGTTAGTTGGTGACAATATAGTTTGACAACTGTTTTTTATTTCGCTGGTGTCAATGAGGTCACGCCTACTTGTCAAGTAAAAGTCCAGTAGTTTTGCACTTCAAACCAAACCAGATTAGATAATTTCAAGTAATGGGTATCTAGAACTGATAGTGTATCGTGCCGTTTGTAGTGTAACGCCCGCGTCCTAATAAACCTTTGGTTGTACGTGGCCTCGACTCTACTTGACCCACCTGACACTGTAAACACTATCACAAGTACTGATAAACCAACGTTATCAATATTAAGGCGTCCAACACCAGTATGTCCTACACCCTTGGCGTTTTGTTTCAACTATGTTCTCCATAACTATAGGTTCAGCTGTGGCATGGAATATAGACCCCGCAAAATTAGTACATTGCAGTTTATTGCGCTTCTGTGCAGGTGTTAAGTTGCAAATGGGAACCTGATCTTAACTCCTGGAAAATAAAAGGGCCGTGAGTCTAGTGAGCTGAGATCATGATTTGGAATAGGAAGGAGTCCTTTGGCCAATTTTCTCTGAAGGAACCGAAATGGCGGCTGGTGTGTGCTGTGTCGGCGGTGGCTAGATAAATATTGTACGTAAATCCTCGCCTTGTACAGTTTAACTGGACTTAACTTAAGTAAAATGGCTGTAAGGAAAACTTATCAGGTTGACGCACCTTGGAAATTTGAGGTTTGAAACGTATGGTTTGTTTAGGTGTAGACGAATTTAACTTAATCTAGTTATTTTAGACGAACTGGTGATTTGTATGGTAACTGCCCAGGTACTGCCTATGATGTCCAAGATGGTGCTGGAAGGGATCGTGGTTCTCCTCCCGCTGGTTCTCTCCCTCGCCAATGCTCTGGATGTTGGTACGTTAATGACTATTGATTTGTAATGTTAATCGGGTTGACTTAAATAACTAACATACTTTCTGGGAATACTCTTATGAAAGGACAAACCCTTCAACTACGTCTTTGACTGTAACTTAAGTAACTTCTGGTATACATATTGTAAATAAAGATTAATTCTTGACGGTGACTTTTAAACGATAAGTCAATGGGAGAGTTCATTAAAAACGTTATCGTTATTAGTTGTTAATTTGAAGTTTAGATAACCCACTTGGCTTATGACGTCAGTGAAAGATAACCTCCATATTTGATGATGATCCTTCACGAGATAGTGTAGTAGTTACAAACCTCACTCGCTTCATATTATATTAAATACATGTAGTATTAACTTAAGCCATAAGACCTGTGATAATCCGGAGAGGACTTTATTTACTGCTTCCCAAAACACTATTCGAAATGTGATTTATCTAGTTAACACTTGTACGGTTTTGTCATTAAGTTGTATCTAATGAACCTATCAAAATCTAATTGTGTAAAACCGTGTATGATCTAAATTTCATGGTTTGTAGGTGAAATGATTTGGGGGGTTAAACTCTTAAAAGCGGGACGTAGATGCATAATCGACCTAGCTGGTTGTAGAAGTGTCCTTCAGTGTTGGAGGCCCAGACAACACCCACTGTGAGTACACCTCGGTCACACCTTTCTGTTGGGGGCATCTTCTTGAGTATTCCCCCCCATTTTCCTTTGTTGGACACCCTCTGAGGTTTGTCCCCACTAATGGCAGTTGGTATTTAAAAGAATGGGAGACTAGTGTTGGCGGAGGTGATCACAGGGTTAGTTTAAATTATAGATTAGACCTGAATCCATGAAGGTGGGTTAGTTTAAATTAATCCAGAAGGGCCATATAATTTTATGTTGGGGGGGGGGGGAGCAGGGTCTCGCACATGATCTTGTAAACACTGCTGTAAAAAGGGTTAATTTAAAAACAAATTGTACGGTGTGCTACCATCTTACACTGCCTGGAAGAAAGGCAAAGTTTACAGTATAGGTATAATTTTCAATTTTCAACTTGACTAAATAGTTTTTATATCTGAAGTGACCATTCAACTATCCGAATATTTTATCCATAGCTACGTAGCTTTAATAGTTTCAGATTACATTGCTTTAAAGCAAGTTTTTTTAATTGTATAAAAGCAATGTGGTTACCCCCTCCTCCACCAGGCTGCGAGTTCGACGGTGTGTTGTACCCTGATGGACACCAGCTGTCCGCCTGCTTCCCTCTGGTGTGCAAGCGTGGCACATGGGTTAATGTGGGATACATAGACGATTGTTGTAAGTTTTAAATAGTCACTTGTCCCGTTACTTAGTTATGCAGTCATGTTATCGATCCTAATATCTTAAAAGGTTAATACGGTTCTTCGTGGTGTTAATGTTAGCAGCTACATTTGGAGGTATCAAGAATAGTTGAGTGGAAAATTTTATCTAATTATAAATAATTTTAGGTACAGTAGCCAGCAATCTTAGAAAGGTGATTGGTTAAAATAAACTTGTGAACTTCCTCTCCAAGGTAAACATTGCTACGTGTTCGACGACCCCCACATTGTGACCTTCGACGAATACCGCTACGACTGGCACGGTGCCTGTAACTACTCAATTGCCCAGAGTGACTTTTCCTATAACCCTGAAGTGGGCGTCTTTGGAGATTTCGAGAGGTGCTGGGGGTGTGCATCCTGCCTCAGGCGCACTACCTTCAAGAATGACCGAAACACCGTCATTACTATCAATACAGGCGCTATATTTGATGTGAGTAGTTTAACTAAAGTGGATCATTTTCAGCTGTTTTTTTTATTTTTGGCAGGTATTACTTGTCAGAATGCAAGTTTTGAGTAGTTTCAAAATGTATTTCTATTTATTTATCGTCAAAATCTTGAATAGAGATTTTTATTTCTTCAAAAAAGCTTCCGCTTGCAATGAATGTTTCCTCCATACTTTGGCCGCTATTGTTTGTAACCTTCAAACATTATTGTTGGTTGGGCAGCTGATGGTGAACGGAGCACCGTACGTAGTACCTGCACTGGGGATCCATCCGGTGGTGTCGCCTGATGGTGTTCATCCCGTGCTGGCCTGGCGCAACGGCAAATGTGTTCTCCTCCAAGGTTCCTCGAGGATAGTGGTAGGCTTCATGGCAGTAGTTGTAAGGTCATGGTTTTCCAGGAGAAACTGAGATGCCAGAAAGTGCAGTCTTGAGCAATAGTTTGTATATTAAATATACTATTCTAAATTAAATTTCGGTTTAAACCAAGTCTCCCATATAGTCTAGAGCAGGGGTTCTCAACCAGGGGGGAATTTCCCCCCTCAGGTTTTCGGGGAGGGGGGGGGGAACTGATACTAATATGGAGAAAAATAAAGGATTTTCAGTATTATATGCATATTTGGAATGCACTTTTTGAGGCAGAATCTTGGAAAGGAGGGGAATGACATTCTAACTTATGGTGTAAGGGGTGCATGGGGGCAAACAAGGTTGAGAACCACTGGTCTAGAGGATTACAGCCTCCTACTAGTGGTGTAAAAAGACTTTGGTGTCCACTTCGCCACACCCACTGGCAGATCAAAGTTTCAATGTTTTCACCACTTAATTTAGTCTGGATTTGCGACTTGGAGGAATTTTGAATTTAAGTGGCTCCTGACCGATCACATTCTGAACTAGGGTAGTTATCATAACCTTGGTTGTACTTGTTCACCATAATGTAATTAAAAGTTTAATGTTCCTTCCCAAACTTGGGATCTACACAAGTTTTTGTTTTCATAAATGAAAACTTAGGTACAGAATTAAAAAACTGTATTATAGGAAATACAAAATGAAGATGTTGTTTCACCTGAAAGCATGAACATGGTTCTTAAACTAACGTTAAAGTAACCATTACCAGGTTCAATAGGTTTTTGCTACTTGTCTAGTGGAAAAGTCAGTTTCTCGTGCAAGATTTTGTGGTTTACTTGCATTACTTTATTCTTGTTAAAACTGTCACTGTTGTGGTACTTTAGGTTCATCACTGCAAGCACCGGCTGGACGTGTGGGCACACCCTAGTCACGCTGAGCACCTGGACGGGCTATGTGGACACTATAACTTCTATGTGAGAGACGACTTCACAGACCGCTCGGCCAACATCCATCCGCTGGAGTACTGGCCCCAGGAGTTCCCAGTCTCGTGGAAGGTACACGACTTCATGTTCGGTTTGGTATAATAGAATCCTCCCTTAGGTGAAGTTAGACAGGGACTTCCCTTTTTTTGGTTTGGTATCTGGCTATTGAGTAACAATTACAGAAATGGAGCTTGATACTAGGAAAGCTGGTCAAACTGTTGAAATTCTGTAAAATATGGTATATGTAAGTTTCGGAACCCAATTACAAAAAGATTGGCTAGAAGTGAGTGGGACTGGTTCTCCTGACCATGGCGAGTCGGTTCCTTAAAGAGATCCAAGAGCCTATAGGTCTTGGTTGAAGCACAAACCGGGACTAGAGATGGTCATGGACTTGGCTCAGAGGATATACAGATAGATTGAAAAAAAACTTGCATTAAAATTTTAGCGTTTTAACACCACTGATTAAACGAAAACGTAGTCTAATGTACTAATGGAAATCCTCCCTCTTCCAGACGAATGATCAGAGTAACCCACAGTGTCTGCTGCCAAGAGGCGTCATAAAGTCTTGTGCTGGCCGTCTGGTAAGTAATGCCAAAATGTTATTTAAGCATTCTTGGACATGAATTTGAAGCTTTGTTTATATTTTGGTAGCTTAACCAGACTAGACAAGCTCGTTCACATTTCGGTTAATATTATTTGACCCTAACTTTGTGGTTAACGTCTTTGATGAAGAGCTGCTCATAATATTACTCCTTGCAGGGTAACCCGTGTCGTGCCGACGAGAGGGAGATGGAGAGGTACAGGACAATGTGCAAGAGACGCATGATGCCACTCATTGGCCACCAAAATAAACTCCTCCATTACATAGGTAAGAGGACTCCCACACGTAGGTTGGCCTTGGATCCCTTCTGTGCAGTACATTTTATGACGTGATCCCGGTAACATAATCTAGTATTCGTTCAGTCCAAAACTGGTATAAAGACTTGTGCAGCATGAGGATGGTTCAGTCTAACCCTCGACAATGACTGCTCAAACCCGTATTTCTTGTGTAGTAACTTCGCTTTTATCTTCCTGGTTTACTCTCCTTGGACAGACGTGAGGTAATGATCCTGATAATACGTTTCTTAAAGGTCGTCCCGTGTTTGGGACCTTGGCGTAAGTTTATATGGACTGCGGCGTGGTGTTGATTAAAATGTACGCTTACGGTAGTTGGTGCTATAGCAACTGCAGCCTCCCAAATTGCGAGGGACAGAAGCTTTGTACTACTGCGTTTGTGTCCCCTGCCACACTATCTTACTCTATCAATTAGGAGTGTCTGGGAAGTGGTAGTAATCAAATGAGGTGCTAAAACGGCTGTGAACGTCACCAGTGGGGTACCACAGGGCAGTGTATTGGGCCCGCTGCTTGTTTGTTTCATAAATGACATTCCTGACGTACACTCGTCCATACAAATGTTTGCTGATGCAAAGTTATTTCGAGAAATCAAGAAGCAAGCGGACTGTAGAGCTGCAGAAGGGCCTCTGGGCTCCAAGAATGGTCGAAGAAATGGCTTCAGAGATTCAATGTCACGAAGTGTAAGATGCACATGGGGAGTACCAGCGGTAAGGAGGCTTATGTCCCAATGGGTTAAAGAAACTGCACTATTTGAGACTGAATGTGAGAAGGACCTAGGTGTGTATGTTGACAATGAGCTTAAGTTCTCGGGCCATTGCGAGAAGGTAATTCAGGAAAATAAATTATTGGGTCTTCCAAGAAGGTCCGTCCCTCGTAACGATCTTCAAGAGTGAAGTGCTTCCCCATCTGGTCCCCGAGATACGCTAGGGACTGTCAGTTGGTTGAAAAATGTTCAAAGGAGGGCCACCAGACTGGTGCCTGCACTTCGGCACCTCTGCTACCTTGAGAGAATGGAGCGCCTGAACTTGCCTAGCTTGTACTATACACGGGCAAGGGGTGGCCTAATTGAGGTGCATAAACATCCCCTGGGGCACTACTCCGTCGAGTGTCCTTACTTGGAGCTGGCGGACGCTCGCCCCACAAGTGGTTACAGCTCAAGATTCAAGCTGCTAGTCCAGAAAACTGAGGGCAAACTTTTTCGGAGTGCGTTGTGAACTCTTGGAACAATCTGCCAGAAAGTGTTGTGACGGCACAGTGTGAGCTCATTAAGACCAGACTGGAGTGGGTTTAGGTACATACAGGCGCTGGTGCATGACCAGTACTTGCCAACAGAAGTGACCGATCGCCCAAGCGGCTAACGAGCCGATCAGTGGTGAAGAGGAAAAAAGAAATGCAGCTCTCGCTTGTCATCAGCCAATTCTGCTGAGTAAAGTCTGTCCAGATGAACTTGGGATAAAGCCACTAAGATGGAGGAACCAGAATCTGTTGAGGTTTTCTTTTTACTTTAAAGGATAGAAAAACTTTGGGCGGATCAGTAATTTGATGATAATCCAGAGTATAATTACTCGTTGGAATGTTGATAAAAGTACACCTGAACCTTCAATTTGACTTAAGCTTCTTATTGGTAAAAAGTTCGATTCGGGTGTTCAGATTGTTTATTATCTTGTGGTGATGCCTCTTGAGACACAGGAGCACCTTGTACTGTACGGTGGTGGGAAACTGACCAAGGAATAGTTGGGAAGAATATTTTGGGTGGAAAAATGAGCAACTTGCTAGTTAAGGTTGAATGATTAACTAGGTGTAAAATCATGGTTACGTTGAAAAAGATGGACTTGCATAGTTATCTATAATGGAAGGGAACCCTAGATTTAAAACGACATGGAAATTCTACTTCTAGAAATCACTCGCATTGCAGGGACAAATTCTCTTTTATATTCTTACAGAAACTTGTGCCTTCGACCTGTGTATGATGTCTGGGAACGGTGCTGACGATCGGATGCTGGAAGAATGGGTGATAGAGGTGCTTGAAGTGCTAAGACTCGCGATCTACATCCTCACTACCACAGGTAAGCTCTTTTCACTGGGGGACCAAGTTTGTACGTTTGTCTGTACCTTAATTGAAGAGCGGCACCTTAAATGGAGACAAAAGCATTTAACTGACATTCTAAAGTAATGAAATAATCCGGGCCGGATAAAGGCCAATTGATGCCCTAAGCACAGCCCAACAATGGTGCCCCATCGGCCCTCCCATTGCTTAATTGACAAGATAAGACGATGATTAAGACTCAATGATTACCGATGTTGAAATAAGAGCTAAAAATTCAGGTCTCTTCCAGACCATCCCACAAGCTAGATTCTCCAATTGTTTTAAATATAAGCAGGTTTTATTTATTTTACACCAAGTATCGGTAAACAATGTAAGCAAATTATCAACTTGGATCCAGGGAAACGGATAATGCAAATTTTCGAAACTTTATTTTTGTAATGAATTAAGAGAAAATTCAAAATAAAAAACTTGAACAAATTGCATGTACATGGATTAAAATCGCCTAATAATACTTATAAATTTACTTGTACTTTAAACATTTCTCCTTTTTTTAATTGCAGTCTTTGATCAAGTCCTCAAAACTAATCTGCCGTAACAAATCTGTGTATGCTTGGCAGAGACCAGGCATCCAACCTTTCGTCGCATAGTTCTGTATGGATTTTTAATATGCTTCAGCTGAGAAAACGAACGCTCAACTGTGCAGTTTGAGCATAAATGTTAAAAATATACGAAATGTAATTTCTACATTTGGAAAAGCACATTCAAGTTTGTTTCCTAAATTCTATAAAGTTCAGCGTGACTGAATCCGGTTTTTAGTTTCAGTTGCACTGAACTTATGGCGCACATGAGTGAAACTGCTGAAGCTCGGTAGAGAAATTAATGTCCAAGTCCTCTGGGTAAGCATCAATTAGCCTTTGAGAACACTGAACATGCCTCTTAGTTTCAGTAGATGATATACAACATTTGGTACATCACTTAAAGAAAATCTGTCCGTTATTTGTGTACACCTCTCCTCTTCTCATCTGGGTTTCGAGTTTGTCAAAAATTGTAAAAGGTGGTGATACGAAATTTATCTCTTGGGGTTCAGATTTACTTCTAATGCATCTCCGTCATTGGGTACCTTTCCGATACGCTTGCTAGTTTGTGCTGCATTAATCTACGTCCGGTAGGATTTCCTATGCGAGCGATTCAAATCTGTCATATCGTAAAATGCAGAGTTGGTCAGTTAACGAGGCATACAGATCTGCACGCGTTTTAAAGTTCGTCCTCGCTGTGTAGAACTTTACTTGCTCTATGAAACTTTTGCGAAATCTCAGCCCATATGATCAACATTAAAACCAATTCTAGCTCTTGCTTCTTTACAATATTGTCTGCCTGTCTTCTAGTGTCTCCTTTTGTGATTCGTTTTCTGCTGGACGTTCTAAGGCTTCCAAAATCTTAAAGAAAGACTTAAGAATTGCTGCTGTTGCCACAGCATGTGCCTCCCATCTAGTATCAAAGGGATTTTAACAACCTCTCATTTCCAAGACTAACTTTAAGAATTTTCCACCGGCCGGTTGAGGCCAAAAAAAATGTATAGAGCAACTGTAATGTTGAGACAAAATTAACTGCCACTTGACAGCACTTCGGCCTACCCGATTTAGTGTATGGGCTGCACATGGCACATATATGGCAAACTTCTTTTCTTAAATTTTTTGTTGCATCCCCCTATAACGCCCAGCCATGTTAGCAGCTTTGTCGTAGGACTGACCTCTACATTTTGAAAAGTTTAGTTTGCAAACATGACCTAAGTTTTGCAGCACCTGGTTTGCCATTTCCTCACCAGTATGGCCTCCTAGTTCTAGAAGTGTTAACAAGCGCTCAATAGGTTGCCCATCTTTTATGTATTGAAGTACAACACTTAACTCATCTGTATGATGGATCTGGGGTCGAGTCAGCTGACAAGCTAGAATAACCAGAAAGTCACTTCAATAATGAACGCATGAACCTTTTGAGCCATAAGTTCAATAATTTCCTCTAGGTTTTGGACAGTTAAGGATTTCCTTTTCCTGAATTTCTATATTTCGAAGTGTGACCTAATAAATGTGACCTGCTAAAAATGGATCTAACTTCCTTATGAGATCCAGCAGCTCTAAAAAAAAAATTTATTCTGCAGTGAACCAAATCTTTCATCTCTTCCTCGTAAAGCCAAGATACGTCCAGCTAACATACGAATAACCGCTATTACACGCATCAAGACATGTTCCCAGTAACTGCACTCGGTTGCTTTTCCAACTTCTGGCCTAAACCTTGTCTGCGAGTGAAGTATGTTAGCATAGACTCGGTGAGCAGTGCTTCTTTCATGATTGTCAATTACAATATTATCTGGCCAGTCACTGAACCATTCTCTTTTAAAAAAAAATCGAGGAACCTTTAGAAGCAAAAAGTTTATGTACAAAACGGTAAACTGACCTAGTTGATGAATATAATAATCATTCTCTCGTATTGCTCGCTATTGGCTTTTACCCCCAAAGAAAAGTTTTTGTGAACATTATCTTGCTGGTTTGCCACTATTGAAAGTTAGAGAAGATTTGTCAAATGGCCCATTGTGGTGTTGAGTCACTGGGTCCACAAGCAATCCAATAAGGCGCATCGGCAGAGAAATCGAGCTTCAACCCTGGTTCGTTTGCTTTATTTCCTTCATCTTTTGCGGACTGAATCATTTCGCCATGGTCCAGTAGATTTTCATTAGTAACCGTTATTTCTACTGAAGATCGTCTTGTCGAGCAACTGTCCAACATTTGCAGTAAAGATATCGAGAGAATTTACAGGCAGAGTTCAGTAGTGATACTTGTGCCCGTTGAACCAGCCTGACCCATCAACGTCGTGTTCTGAGCTTCAAGTGGACCAAGTTGTAGTGGTGCCCACTTTTGGTGCCCTAAGCACGTGCTTATTTTCCTAAGTGGTTAATCCAGCCCTGGAAATAATGCAGCTAAAATGTATAGGCTTGCAGATTCTAGTGCTATTCTGGTTAATGGGTAAATTTTCCCTTTGGATTTTGGGAACGGTAAAGTGTCACGGTTGGGTTGAGAGTATGATTGGATTGAGGGGGTGGGTGGGTAGGTAGTAGGCGGCTATCAAAAGGAGGTACTACCTCCTGGGAAGATATTTGAAGCGTAATGTATTGTCTAATGGTAGACCCTGCTGCCATATGGCATCGCAAAAAAATGGGACCAAGTCCCTGGTCGATGATTTGACTTTCTGCCTCGTTTACTCAATTGCAGGGTCTTTTGGTTCTTACCATTGACAACCCCTGCATATAGTTTCACTTAGTTTTTTTTCCATTTTTGCATTTCCTTGTGGCTTATTTATATCTTTGTAATATTATAAATTTTACTTATCTGAAATATTGTATTTGTTGCATTTTCGCCCCGTTGTGGGTCGGTGACCTGTGTCCGAGTGGGCTAATACCTGTAAACAAAAGGCCCTGGGAGGGAGGGATGACCAACTACCTTGATACATGCTACAGTTGTGATGGCCTGGTGTCTTGTGGGGAAAAAAAGTTCTCAATTCGGTTTTTCTTTCACGATACACTGAAGGTAAACCCAATTTGCAGAGACTATGTAAGAGTTTGCATTGAAAGATATGAAATTAAATCTTTTGTCAGGGGTCCGGCAATATTTTTTTTCTTCGGAAGCAAAGTTTCTTTCCTTGGTAAATGCCGATCTTTAGAACCTTCAAATCTTCCTTGCAGGGAAGACCCAAGATGCAACTCGCGTGAGGTCCACATCGGTCACCACCATCACCCCTACCCTGACCGTTCACCCAATCAACACCACCTTCACTGAGGGCTTATACACCACCCTCACCTTCTTGGAGACAGATGTAACCTATTCAGAAACCAACACCATCACGTCTGTCAGGCCTTTATATCCAACCTCGACTACTACTACTGTGGATCCGTATGACTCTACTTACGGCATACCTTAACTATTTATATACACACACAGAAGCATCCCTACACTGTCATCTTTAACTTGGATGGTCTTTAATACTGGGTGGTCTAGAGTTCCCATGTAAAAGACTTGCTAGTGTCATTGTGTAGTAATTCTAGTATGCTCGTTACATATATTCCCAAAAATATTTAATTGGCCTGGGATACACTGCATTGTTCTGAAGTAGTGTTAATTGTTAGCAATATTTTATTAGTTTATGAAAATTCTATTTGCCTTGTAGAAAAAGATGTTATTTAGTTTTAATTGTCGAATTTAATTGCATTAAAATATTTTGAATATAAAGTATTTTTACTCCTGCCTATTGAAAGTTTACCACTTGTAGTAATTTTACTAATTTGGTGCACCTGAAATTCATACTTTAGCTTTTAACCTATTACGGTGTTACGCGTGTTACTTGGTGTTTATGCAGTTGTGGGTTAAAACAAAATCTTGCCTTAGATACCTTCACAAACGTCCAGAAATTGCCCAAGCTAGTAAACGCCGACTGTCAGATAAGGATTTTCAGATTTGCCCCCGAGGGGGCTAGTTTATTGGGCACCCGCTTACTTCCTGTGCAAGGAGAAGCGTTTACAGCGCTCATCTGGGAAGTATGCAAAGTTCATACTTGCTTTTATGACTCGTACATTAAGGGCGTAAAAGCCTGAACGGTCATAGGTTTTGTCATGTTACATAGTGAGAATGATGAGTGTGCAGGGGGAAAGTTCCCGGTACATTTCATCTGTTTATGGCAAAGAGTGGCAGGTCCCTAATAATGTCAAGTGCCAGGCCTGTGACTAGGAGGAGGGATATCTGGTCTGGGAGGGAAGAGGTGTTGGTAACGGCTGGGGACCTGTAGGAGGAGGTTATAGGGCAAGTGAGGATGTAGTGAGAGGGTGTGAGTCGGGTTGGCCACAAAGTTTACAAACTGCGGTGAGGCTCAGGGTTGTCAATGTACTCCCATAGGTATCTGTACCCTAGGCGCAGTCTCGTGTATATAAGCTGTTGAGATCGAGTCAGGGATTGATACTCTTTGTAGTGGCGGTTGTCGTCACCGGTTACAGCGTCATAGTGGCATAGTGTGATGCTACCCCGTTGTTTCAGGTGTGTCCAATTTTCGTTGAATGCCTCTCGTTGTGTGGCGTGTATGCGAGATTTGAGATGATTCAGGGAGAGGGCGAGAGTGGCTTCAATATCTTCTTCTTGTGTAGCTTCTTTGGCAAGCCGATCAACAGTGTCACAGGCAGTTATTCCTATATGTGACGGGATCCAAAGAAACTTGACACGGATGTCATCAGTTTGTTCTAGCCCGGCAACGGCGGCTAGGGTGTGTTGGGCGGCAGGGGAGGAGGGGGAGGGTAATTTGAGCCTCGCTAGCGCAGAAGTGCTGTCACTGATTATAAGGAGGTTCCGGCGTTCAGTGCGAGCATAGGTCGCCCCCTCATGAATGCCCGCGAGGATGGCTATGCTTTCAGCATCAGTGGAGGAGGCCCAGTCGTGGACCCTGATTTTCCTGCAGGCCTGGCGCTCAGGAATCCACACAGCTGCCCCAGCGCTGCCCAGCGTGGTAACAGACCCATCACAGTAGACGAGGATAGGAGGGTGGGAGGTCTTTAGAGAGGAAGCGACATCATTAATCTGCTCAAGGCAGTTAAGTTTGAGCATATACCTCAGTTGGGTGGATTTACGACCAGGGAAGGTGTGGACGACAACATCAACACACGGGGAGGTCCACGGCGGTAGAGGCGGATGAGTGTACTCGGGAGGGAGAGAGGTCGAGGGGGTGTAGAGGTGATAACGCAGGATGTCAGCAGCAGTGTGGACGGGCCAGAGTTGAGAGGGAGGGGGGAAAGTAATGGGGACAGGCCGGCGCAGGAGGGTGTTAAGATGTGAGTTCAGTGAGCGCGACAGGGGAGTCGGTTGCTCACTGCGAAGAAGTTTAACACCAAGGATGGCATTGAGAGCAGTAATTCGATCGCAGACGGGAAGCAGGATTAGTTCGCGCTGCATGACTTCTATTCTGGTGGTCATAGGGCAGCCGAGGATGAGTCTCATCGCTCTGTTTTGGATTTTCTCTATGCTTTGTTTCTCGCGCTGGGAGGCAACTGCAAGGACAGGAGAGGCATAATCTATGACAGCTCTGACGATGGAAATGTACATGAGACGTAGGACCCTGACAGAGGCTCCTTTGAGGCCGTGAGTGAGGGACTGGAGGGGCCTCGTTCGTTGGCGGCACTGGGAGATGACGTGGGCGGCGACAGCGGAGGTGGTGGCTCTGGTAGTGGCTCGCACAGGTAGACCAAGGTACCTGTAGGTGCGTACTTGATCGATGTCTTGTCCTTGCAGAGTCAGTGGTGTCTGACGCCGGAAGCGTGAGATGAACTTGGTTTTAGTGTGTGAGATGACTAGCCCGAGTGTTTGACAGGTCCGGGCGAACGTGGAGAGTATAGGTTGTTCATGTTGCACTGTAGTAATTTGGAGGAGAATATCATCAGCGTAGCTTATGATGTGACCGTCTAGGGCGCGCTCAGCAAAGATGACGTTGAGACGGCAGATGGAGTTCATGAGAACATTGAAGAGTGTAGGGCTGAGTACACCTCCCTGAGGCGTGCCAAGATCAAGGTCCCTGATCTTAGAGTAGTGGCCCTGAAAACGGACACGGGCCTGTCGATGGGAGAGGTAGTCAGCAATCCACGTGAGGAGTTTGCCCTTCACATCCATGTGAGTGAGGCCCTCAAGGATCACTTCACTGTTGGCTTTATCAAAAGCACCCTTGAAGTCGACGAAGAGGGAGGTTTTGGCGGAGGTGTTTGCCATGTAGTGAGCGATGCAGTGAGCAGTACTCTTTCCGGGGCGAAAACCATAGAGGTCAGGGTGCAGGTGGGCTTCAATTTTCCAGTGGAGGCGGTGGAGTATCATGCGCTCCATCATCTTTGAGAAGCAGAGATGAGGGATATTGGACGATATTCATCTTGTCTGCCTGGTTTAGGGACTGGGATGGTGGTGGCAGTCTTCCATGAGTGAGGCAGCTGACCAGTATCAAAAGAGAGGTTAAATAGACAGAGGAGGGGGTTACCAGGGGTGGCAATAAGGGCATTTAACACATCATATGTGACGCCGTCATCGCCTGGGGCGGTGGACCGACCACGCTTAACAGCATTTAGTAGTTCACACTGTGTGAAAGGCACGTCAGTGTCTGCAAATAGGTCTTGGTACTCGAAGATGCGCTGTCGGCGTTGTGGTTGCAGTGCGAGGGTGAGGTCTCGTACAGCGGGTGGTAGCGCATCAATGGAGGCGGCCTCCTGCCACGTCTGGGAGAGCGCCTCAGCTCGGGCAGCTGGTCTGGGGTGGAGCGCGGGTCTAGCGTTGGTGCCCCGGGCACGGTTAATGGTGCGCCATATATCACCTATAGATGTAGACTGGTCAATAGAAGAAGCAAAATCAAACCACTGTTTCTCTCGTGCGAGAGTGATGGCAGATTGGAGCTCTTTATTTGTGCGCATCAGGAAGCGTAGAGAGTCAGGGGAGCTGGGAGATTTCTTCCACTGGTCGACTGCTATTCGGTGCCACACTCGGATAGACTTTACATGAGGGTCACGGTTAACGTTCCACCGACTCCTGGGCTGGCGGTTAGGGTGGCGGTGGTCAGTGCATTGTTTGGACAGATCAAGGTAGAGTTGGTCTGCGGTGGTGACAGTATAACCCTGAAACCATTCAGCAATGGTAGTGATGAAGGCAGGTATGTTGGCAGGGGGTAGGCTGAGCCTAGGGCCCTTGAGTGGAACGGGTATTCTCGCATACTGGAGGGTAGTGTGGATAGGGAAATGGTCACTGTGGGGGGAGTGGAGGATGCGGGTGGAGTGTGGGCGGTGAGGGTCAGAGTAGAGAGCTATGTAGTCAAGTTTCCCTCCCCCGATGTGGGTGGGTGATGGAGGGCAGAGAAGACGTCCAGGGTCATCAGTGGTTTGTAGGTAGGAGAGCCAGGAGTTACCCCGGGAGTTTGAGTGGGGCCCCTGGGAGCCGAGACTTGGGTGACGGGCATTGAGGTCCCCCACAAGGAGGGTGGAGGTGATATGGTGTGGTTGGATAGGTACAGTAGGGGTGGAGGGAGGCACATTGACAATATCGAGAGACATACCTTTTAGTGTGATTGTGAAGCATGTGCGTCGGTGGTGTCATCAAGGGGGACGTCGAGAGGTTGGTAGGGGACATCCTTCTTGACGTAGATCCGTAGTCCACGTGCATTGCTTCGTGGTAGTCCGTCGATGCGGAGAACAGGAGTGGATGGGCTCTCGACACATGTGTAGCCACTGAGCACATAGGTACCAGCAGTACACCGCGTTTCTTGGAGGCACAGCACGTCGACGTCTTCAGTGTAGACGTAGGTTTTGAGGGCACCAAACTTGCTTTGCAAGCCGTTTATGTTCCAGGTGAGTACCTGCAGTCCTGTAGCGTTGCTATCCATTGTGGTGTATTAGACTGATTACCCCTGACGTGGACGGATGGGCCTTAGGTGCCGGCATGTCGGTGGAGTATGGGTAGCCGGGGGTGGAGTCCTCAGGTCCAATAGGTAGCCCTGGTGGAGACAGCACAGACACAGGAGCAGGCGAGGCTTGAGGTGGGTAGACAGGTTGAGGCACCACGTGACGTAAAGATGAGGCAGGGCTTGGCTCGGGGGCCCCAGTACACACAACCTGTGAGCAGGGGGGGCTCACAGGGGGACTACCAGCTTGTGTCAAACCAAAAGAGGGGAGTGACTGGGTGGCAGCAAAGGGCAGGAGTTGGCGGTGTAGGTCGGAGATGGCGGTACAGAGTGTAACCAAGAGTTTCTCAACATGACTGGTAAATTCTTGGAAGAGGGACATGATCTGTGTCATGTCACTGGAGAGGGGTTGTGGGGGGGCACTGGTGGCGGCACAAGGCTTGACAGCGTCAGAGTAGAGACGGGGAGGAGGCTCAGTAGTGGTTGAGTTAGGGAATGGTAGGTGCTGTTGTGGCGCAGCCTGGTGAAGCCAGGCAGGGGCAGGTGACCCAGTAGACTGAGGGGGGCGTTGTGGTAGACGCAGCCCTTGGGGAGGCCTCTCCCCTGGGACAGAAGGGCGACTGGGGCACTGCCGTGAGTCAGCATTGTGCCGGCCGCCACAGTTACAGCACCTGGGCTCAACTACATAGCCCACACCACCCCTATTAAGGTGGTCTTTGATTTTCTGGGCACAGGCGGCGGAGTTGTGGTTACGTGAGCAGAAGCGACATCTAGGACGATCACGTCGGCAGCAGGCAGTGAAGGTGTGACCCCAATGAGAGCAGATAACACAAAATGCAGGCCCAGGATGATAGGGTTCTGCATAAAGTGGTGGACGGATTGGATGGGCTTCCACAGTGGTTGGACATACCCTTCCCTTCCACTTGACAATAACAGCAGCTTGTGGAGTGTGTCCCGGGTAATGTCGACGTATACTGAGTATATTAGAATTAAAGTCACGTGCATCTTCGATGTCAGCGTATAGGGGGAATCGTTTCACTAGGATGCGGCAACATTCATCAGCGTCTGCTGGAGGGGCCACTAGGACAACCCCGTCAAAGCCAACAGTACTAAGGGTTTTATAGACTTCAGGAGTCTGACACTTGATAAAGTTCCGGTTCTTACCTTGTCGGAATTGAATGTTGGGACCATGCTGTCTGCAGTACTTCATCATCCAATTAAACCGATCCTCAACAGATTTTAATGAGTCCTTGGGAAAGTGGAGATTCAGCTTACTTGTTTGTTTGGCAGAGGGCAGGGTGATAGGGTCCATGGCATTGCTGTTTCCACTGTGGCTAGTGTTTCCCATAGAAACATTACCGTCACTGTCATAATCACTGGGGCCTGACTCTTGAAGGGTGTTGGATTCAGTCAAGACCTGCTGTGTTTTATTCCCAGTTGAATTCTTTCTGCTTCCTTCTGTGTGTCGTCCTTTTCTTCCTATCATTCATGATCTCATCACTGTCACTTCCTTCACTTTTCTTCGCCTCCTCTCGCCTCCTCTTCTTTTCTTTCTTACTAATCACTTCTTGAAAATTGTCTATCACTTCTATTGTTGTTTGCCGCGGATTGTCTGCTTCTGATTCACTACTTGAAAGCCTCAGGTCGTCTTCTAAGTTGTTCAGTAGGGCAATCTTTTCTTCTTTAGCCAAAGCCTTCATAGGTTTCTGCCCACCACTCTCCCCAGGCATTGTGCAATGCTTGTGCTCGGTCACAGGCGAGATGGAGAGGCAACGACGTCACTACCACGTCATACGTCGTCACGCTCTTCGCACTGCGCATGCACAGATGCGAAAACAACCGACCAGATGGTCCAGGCAGAAAGTCCAGATATTTTATCTAAAACATTGTCGAAGTCCAGCAACTATAAATTTCACAAGCGACACTGTGCTTACAACTGGGCTCCACTTTAGTTCTCTAAACAGACTGAAGGTAGTCGTCTCACTAAATTCATCAGAATTGGGAATTGTAGGGAGAGCTCACTCACAGCCTTTGTTGACGTTTCACGGTGCGCATGTCGAATGTCCGTCAAGGGGTCGTGGAGTGGTGGTCCAGCAGGCGTCACGGAGGCGTTGTGTATGGGGACATCTTAGGAGGCAGTGGATAAGGGTGCTGCTGTCGAGTCTTCTGCATAATGCACAAGAGCGTTGCTCAGGGGATACGGGAATACCAATCTCCTAAGCAAAGTCATACCCAATGATTATGCATGTCTATATTTTGTTGATTTATGACTATTTTAAACTTTTACATTGCCCAGTTTATAAATTAAACTGCCAAATCTATTAGCCTGAAGTCTGTAATTATAATAAAGTTATTCTAAACCACAGTGTGAAATATGTACTCGTAGTGCAATGTTTGTGTTGACTTTAACCCGTGTAGACGAGTTGCTACCCGCCTCTCCCTCCTCCCACGCCAAGGATTCTGTAAAACAGAGGGGTGGTTAACTCCTATATTAAATTATCGTTATCCCGTGATGGAGGTTCTAATGCGCCTTACCAAGGTCTGGGCCACAGAAGTGGCTGCCAGTGTTTCCAACTCAGCGGAAAATCTGCTAAATCTAATAAACTACTCTTTCAAACCTCGAATGGCTTTTGCGGATAGCGGATTTTCTAACTCATTTTAACTGGATTTGGCAACAGTTCTAGCGGATTTCGTATACACGTTACTAATTAGTAGGGCCCGGATAGTTATGCACTAAAAAACCATGAAATATGCATGCAAATATGCACTAAAACGGGGGAAATGTGCATTTATATGCACTAAAAATGTCACTTATAAAGCCAAGAATGCAGGTTATACGGAAACAAAATAGTTAATATAAACTAATGTTAATGTTTATTAAGCAATATACGTATATATGTGAAAGTGCTTCAAAAAATATATATGAACATGTATTTACATTATAGACTGACATATTTTCAGACATTACAGATTGTGGTTGCATTTGATGATGACATGGTGGCGTAAGTTCTCAAAGTTAAAACCCCGCCTGTTGTCTGTCAGCATAGCTTTATATTCTGAGAACACCCTTTCTACATCACACGAGACGATTGGTGCATGTTTCATACATAGGAGGTCTGACATAGTGAGTGGCTGTACCGTCTCGTCAATAATAGCATCCAGTATACTGTTCCAGGAATGACTTTAGGCACTTGTTATTCAGTTTATGCAATGGAATATCCGCTGAAACAAATGCCTTGCACAAATCTGCGTTGAACTGGGAACGATCAGGCCCTGACTTACTGGAACATGCAAGAAGTAGTTGTTGCTCCTTTTGTGCACTATTGGACTTAAACAGCTTCGAGTCGGATGTGCTTGCTTGTTTTAAGGTGTTGTTGGACTTGAAATTTCTTGCTCGCTGTCACTGGTGCTTCACAATATTTACAAAACAGTACACTTCCATCAGTAGTAAATGCATCAAATTCCTTTACATATGATCTCAGCACTTCATTTTGGTTTCTTTGTACTTTCGGCATTTTCACGAGCAGCAGAAGAGAGTAGCTCCACACAGCAGCACTGCTCCTGACTGACTAACTCACTAGTCCAATGAGTCATGACCAGGTGTGGAAACGACAGATTAAAGCGACGTGACCTCACCTCACTTCACCTAACCACACCTCACCTCACCTCCCAGTACCACGTGTGCTCATTCAGTGGCAACAAAGAGATACTGCCAGATGAATATTTTACCAAAATATGCATTTATATGCAGTTATCTAGGTAATATGCACTTATCATAGAAATCACGCAAAATATGCATTTGCATATGAAATATGCAAATGCATAACTATCCGGGCCCTACTAATTAGCATTAAAACGTAAATTCTGTCCCTCTGAAATGAGTAACCAACAACCCAACTCAGTCCCTCTGCTGTCCGATATACGTTCGTTGGTTTCAAAACCGTTCATACAGGACCCGTCCGCCCGGGGACTGTCCTAGGTTCAATTAACTAACTTACTGTTTACCATTGTCTACTTGTACTGACTATGTATATGCTGAAGCAATGTGAACTTGTATTACTATTTGACTGAATATATCACCAGAGAAGTGTTACAGTGCTGAAATGTTCAATATGTACAGTGACACCATTAACATATTGTACATGCATTTTTTGTACCCAGTCCTGCAAGATGTTCAGCGAACTATGAATGCGTTTTGGGGTGAAAATACTGATCCCACTAAACTTGTGTATGACCTCTCAAATCTCATCCGTGTAAGAAGTAAGAAAGTGATTATTCCTACGGCAAGAGCAGATCCTTTAACCTCTAAAATGACTTCTCACATTGACCCCAGGGCATTTCTAGGATACGAATTTGAAAGACTTGAACCGACTCAAAGCTAACAGAAGAGGCAAAGCGCAATCTTCGCCAACGCTACATATCTTGTGTTACCAGGCTTTGTAATGAGTTACAAAACAAACTTGCTGAAAACTTCAAAATTTCGAGGAAAAATTTTCTGTCTTCAAGTTGTGGAATCTCTCAGAGTTGTGAAGGAGCCAATATTGGAGATAGTTGAACTTTTTGGGTACCATCCACAACAAATTGGCCGAATTGACAATCAGTGACGCAATTTAACATTTGTTGAATGATACGAGAATACGTCAACAGTAAAATTTTGGCTTAAGGTTTATATAATCACAAGGACCTTGGGACCTTTGTTGATTAGCTATCAGTGTACTCTGCCTCCCTCACTCCAATACTGACATAGAGACTACTTAGCCAGCTAAATATTGTTAAATCAAAGCTCAGAAATCGGTTGAATACAAGTTCAGTTAGTGTTATTATTCCCGTGAAAAGTGGACTCAGAAGAGTTGGAAAATGTTGCCATTCATATGAACTGCCAAAAAAAATGGTCAAGCAAATAGGTACAATAGCAGCACACAGATCAACATCATCACAAGCTTCAGAAGCTGGTCCAAGCTCTTCGTCAGTGCCTGTGTCTATAGAGGCTGAAGAGGAAGAGGACTGAATTTTTTTTTTCGCTGAATTAAGTGGTGAGTACTTAACGACATTTGCATATTTACTTTTTAACAACATTTGTTTTTGTGTAGGCTACGTGAATAGTATTGTGTTTAGCGGATTTCTAGCGGATTTTATAAGCCAATCTAGCTAATTTTCATCATCTACATTTGGCAACACTTACATCAGTGCTCCCATCTCCGTCAGTCACGTCTTGAGTATAGGATTTCAGTTCGCTCCCGTCCGTTGTACCAGTAACACTTGTGGCAGTTTTGTTTGCCATTAAACTACTTCATTTCCTGTTTTCTACACTGGATATCATCCAAGGTAAGGTTATAAATTGTCATTATCGTTTGCAGTCTTAGTAGTACAACAGAAGACGTACAGCAGTAATATTTGAGCTAATAACGAGGGGCGTGTTGTATATTAAGTCGCACAACATACCAATGAAAAATCTCCTGCATCATTGTCGAAATTATACCATAGCGAGGAGGCGACACGCTAAGGCTTAATGATGAGGCAACAAAAATATTACACTCTTATGATATAAATCACCACAGATAAGAACTTAAGTTGAGGTTGTAGGTTATGTATATAAGCTACTGTGCCAAGTAGCAACCCTGTACATAAGCTACTGTGCCAAGTAGCAACCCTGTACATAAGCTACTGTGCCGAGTAGCATTTATATATATTATCACGTGGCACCACTGCACGTGTTATGTGGCAACATTGCCCCGAGGCTGCCATATGGCAAGGCGCCTCAGTCTGACTGTGTGATCCGCGCATGGCACACGCGAGTCACCACTTGTATTTCTCTCATCCACAATAAACGGACTCAGTGTTACACAGTGTTTCCCTAGCCATCACTGCATTCTTCAGGGCACACTAGTAACCTTCAGGAGGTATATTAAAACACAGTGTGTTACAGAGATGATGAAAGGTTTCAATATTTTAAGTTGGTAATAAACAGTTATTCTAGTAATCGTGGCTACAGTGCTGTATACTATATTTGTGCTTTATATGCTTTGCATTAGCCTGTAATAGGTCGGGAATACCAGCGTTGTCAGATGTACTGTCTGCATCTCTATTTTCTCCTCTTCCTTACTATCGGAATCTGCTGCTTTTTTTTCCATTTTAGGGGATTTCTGGCCACTTCGACTTACGGCTATTTCGGCCGAAGCTGTTTTTTTCCTTCGTTATTTTCTTTTGAGTTCTTCCTTTTGTTATTTTTGTTTTTCAATTCCTGTTCTTGTTCAGGTATACTGTACTCGTATATGTCGACAAACTCTGGAACTCTTATTGTTATTGTATCTGGCTTTTTAGGTTTCTTGTTTTTCTTTTCTTCTGTCTTGTTTGGTTCTGGTTTCTTTTCTACTGTCTTGTTTGGGTCTTGAGTCATCTTTTCCTCTGTCTTTACTACAAGGAGAGCCTCCTTGTAGCTCAGTTGTTTCTTGCTGCGCAGTTTAGCCACCTTACACTCCTCCCTTCATTTGGGACACTCCCGGTAAGAGGAGGAGCTATGCATCACTTGTCGGCCGCCAAGCAGTTTGTATGCTGGTGCACGGGTGTTGCGCAAGTGCACAGACCTCACGAGCTCGGCACTTCCCTGCCAGATGGCAGTACGGTGCTTGGTAGATGCTTTGGATAACCAACCAGTGCAGTTATTCTGGTCAGCTTCCGTACTATTGTGAACTGGTCTCCGGTCAGCTCGGCCGACTCTTCTTTCTCAAGATGATCTATATTGGTGTGAGAGATTACTCCCAACACCAAGTTATCCTCTGTATAAGCTTCTACTTGAATCTTAATCCCGTTAAATTCTTTTATGTTGGCTACATGCTGGGCCTGTCCCCATTCCACGAAGGTGACCATACGGCCACCACTTACTGGTCTGCGGACGACCCTTGTCACCCCCCTGATTCCTAAGGAGTAAAAAAACTTCCTTAGGGCAAGGAGGTTAAGCTGCTTGGGTGAAGGGCATTTGATTGGATACAGTCTGACGACCTTCGCCTGGTCACAGGACAGCTTTGCCCTCATCGTCAGGGTCACGTAGTACCTCGGGATCAGAAGATTTTGCCTCGCTGAGGTGCAGGTCTAGAGTCTGGTCCTGCTGCTTGCAGTGTTAGTGTGTTTTCCTGTTTCAACTTCTGGAGTTACTCAGTGTATCTGCGATGACATCGTATGTTTTACATCTAATACATACTTTAACGGAACCCATGAACAGCACTCGGACTTTTGGCGAGATATAACCTGCTTGGCCAGTAGTCTGTTCGCCACTGATGTAGTTTTCATGTCAGGTAACGAGCAAGTGGCAGGAACTGTCTCAGCCACGGGGCGATTGGCGACACGTGAGGTCGTGTTATGGTTCCTGTACATTTCCTCTCTACTTTGATTACGGGAGTGATTCATAAGTCCAGAGTTGCCAAATTACTTAGCAAATTAAGTGAGTGACAAGAGAACATTGTCATCCAAATTGGTGAACAAAAAACGATCTCACTTTGTAAGTGGCCATCATTAATGCAGCTGTTTTAATGCCTTGTGTAGTGGGACACATCGATGTATGCCTTGCACAGTGGAACACATCGTTGTATGCCTTGTATAGTGGAACACATCGTTGTATGCCTTGTGTAGTGGGACACATCGATGTATGCCTTGTATAGTGGAACACATCGTTGTATGCCTTGTATAGTGGAACACATCGTTGTATGCCTTGTGTAGTGGAACACATCGTTGTATGCCTTGTGTAGTGGAACACATCGATGTATGCCTTGTACAGTGGAACACATTGTTGTATGCCTTGTATAGTGCAACATATCGTTGTATGCCTTGTGTAGTGGAACACATCGTTGTATGCCTTGTATAGTGGGACACATCGTTGTATGCCTTGTGTAGTGGAACACATCGCCGTATGCCTTGTGTAGTGGGACACATCGTTGTATGACTTGTGTAGTGGAATATCGTTGTATGCCTTGTGTAGTGGGACACATCGTTGTATGCCTTGTGTAGTGGAAAACACCGTATGCCTTGTGTAATGGGATACATCATTGTATGCCTTGTGTTGTAGGACACATCGTTATTTGCCTTGTGTAGTGGGACGCATCGTTGTATGCCTTGTATAGTGGGACACATCGTTGTATGCCTTGTGTAGTGGGACACATCGTTGTATGACTTGTGTAGTGGGACACATCGTTGTATGCCTTGTATAGTGGAACACATCGTTGTATGCCTTGTGTAGCGAAACACATCGCCGTATGCCTTGTGTAGTGGGACACATCGTTGTATGCCTTGTGTAGTGGAACACATCGTTGTATGCCTTGTGTAGCGGAACACATCGCCGTATGCCTTGTGTAGTGGGACACATCGTTGTATGCCTTGTGTAGTGGAACACATCGTTGTATGCCTTGTGTAGTGGGACACATCGCCGTATGCCTTGTGTTGTGGGACACATCGTTGTATACCTTGTGTTGTGGGACACATCGTTGTATGCCTTGTGTTGTGGGACACATCGTTGTATGCCTTGTTTAGTATTTTCTTCAGTGTTGAGTTATTCATACACACGCACACAACACCTGTCGGGTGAGCCAGTTGCGAGGTGATTTATTTTCTCATATCGAACAACCTTTCTCGGTGATACAACGCGTCCTGCCTCCCTCGTTAACTACCTTGTTCAACTTTAACCCTAGCTTGGACTACAGTGCATCTCTCCTGAAGTGTAAATCAGTAATATTTATAATAAAGTTAACATGCTGGTAAAATCCAAAGGCATCAGCTACTGGCAATTTCCAGATATTAGAAAATAAATTCCACCACTACTTTTTTTTGTGTAATCTTGACTTATATAATGACAGCATTCCGTAGCGTACTGTACTGTACATCTCAATGACGTTATACTGCAAGCGAAGGGTCTCACTGGGTTATCGTAGTAACTTGAGCATTGGTATCTGATAAGGCAATAATCTTCACAAAACAGTAAGGTAGGTCAGTAGTCATCTTTATTTGAAGGGTCAGACACTAATACAGTGGTACTTGTGTCTCGCAGGACACGCTATAGCTTGTGGTATGGAGACATTGATGTGCGTTGAGAACAATGGGATTTAGCACCCACCAAAGTGTGGGTAGCGTACAAGAATTTTTTTTTTTAACGTGGCCTCCAGCCTCCCCCAATAGCCACACCTTCGCCACCATTTTATTACCTTAATATTAAGTCTCCTAATACATAAGTAGCTATCCTAGCTGTGTTGAATTAGTTGAGCCTTAGGACTATGCGGCATTCAGTGACTGTAGCCTCATAGTCAATATCTGCAGCAGTTGTCGGCTTTGGGGCAGAAGCTCTCGTTCCCCTGAGGCAAAGCAAAGCTGACCGAAGGAGAGAGAAAGAGTCGACTTCTCATCCAGGCTGTAACGTAGCTTCTGGGCTGCTGCTTCTGTCCGGAGATCACCTCCGCGAGTCTGGCGTAGAAACATCTTGCACTTGGTTCCATCCCCCCAGGAGTGAAGCTGCATTGATCAACGTTCTGAATTCTCTCCCCTATGCCCTTATCTTATCGTTCTCGTTCCTCCTGTGTGCAGCATCGAGAGCTAAGTTGCGGTGACATGCGGCCATGGGATAAAAAATCCTGATGTCGAAGAAGGCTTGCTGTCCCCGCGTCCAGAAACCTCGAGCACTGACGTCAACACGGGCTTCGTTGGATGTGTTTGAAGTCTTATGTTGGAAAGTCTCTAAATGACAGCAGGTTGTCTACTCAACCCGAAAATGTAGTACTGATAAATGCTGCTCCTTTAGTAGCATATGTCCACGAGGAGAATGAGAGACAGAGGCGGGCTATTTCTCTACGTAGGAGGACAGCAATAGAGGAATGTTTCTGGTAAGTACAGTATTTTATATTTTATTAACATGTATACACAGTAGCTGGTGTCAGACCCAAAGGTGACCTTCCTAGGGCTCAGATACAGTGAAAGGAACTGACTGACCAAGTTCTGTCTTGCCTTGTTTGTTCAGTGTGGTCTCCCAGCGCCAGTCAACACGTTTTACCTGGTCTTGGCCAAACAGTTTTGTCTTGTTTGTTCACTGTGAATCCAGCTTTAGTTACGTAATCTTTTCAGAGATAGAGAGAGAAGAACATGGGTGTCAGGATGGAGAATGTGTTATGGACAATAGCTCGACGCAGGTACTCCGCTTTTCCGTGGACGCTCACTACCATCCTCAGCACACACCCTACCCGCTCCTGGACAACAAACAGCGTGTCTTCCAGTCCGCATCGCTACGGCCTGTCGTCGCTGAGGTGGGTTGCTGGCTGTTCAACCAAGGCCTCCATGATTGAGGAGACATATCTGCGACCGTTCTCCGAGATTCCTGGTCCTAGGTCGTGGCCTCTTCTGGGTTCTCTTCCGTCCATGGCCACTAATCCAGGTAGGAAGCAAGTGGGCCTGACCTAACGGCTTAGGCCTCTTTCAGATGATTTTTTTTAATAGCGCGACAAAAAAAATTAAAAACTCGCGTGTGAAAGAGGCCTTGATGTAACCAGACTTAACGTAATTTAACTCAAACCTAACTGAGACCTAATCATACCTAACTTACTATTAACCTAACCTAATTAGCCATACCTATTCTTAACCTAACCTAACTCTTAACACTCTTAACCTTAACGAACTTACTGTAGTCTAAATCCTATTCTGGCCCACGGGCCTCACTCAACCTGGTACAACTTTGCCCCTAACTCTAAGTTAGTCTAACCCTACTCTAACTCAACCTAGTTTAGCCTTGCCTATCCTAGCTCTAACCTATCCTAGCCTAACCTAACTGATCTAACCTAGTTTAACTTAATCATACCTAGTTGTAACCTAACCTACATCACGCAGCCGTTTATCTACCTGGGGAGAGGATGGCTGGTGTGACTAATGTGGAGCATTTACTCGTATATTTGACAAGAGTTGTAAACACAAAACCAAATCTCTCTGCCTTCTTATTACAGTGTGTTTTAGTTTCCCCTTCAGATAGTGTTTTTATGTAAGTTTCTCCCACAGCTTTTGATGCGAATCGTCTGCCACGGCTCATGGAAAGGTACTTTGAGGAGTACGGGCCGATCTTCAGGATAGTTGTACCAGGCCTCGGCATCATAGTCTACATCTCGAATCCTCAGGACTTTGAGAGGCTCATCAAGGAGACGTCGAAAAACCCCGTCAGACCGTTCTTCGATTCCCTTAGGAGAGTTCGTGAGCTGAACGAAGACAACTTCTTTCAGAAAAATTGCATGGGCATTTTTGTCGAGTGTGTGGTATTTTCTTAAATGTTTGTTTATTTGTGTGGTTGAATATTTGGGTATCCCACCAGAATAAGCCGGTTCATGACAATACGCCGGCTCTACACCCAGTAAAAATACATATACAAGAATTTTAAGTAGTAAAAAGCAAAATAGTTACTAGAATAAGATAAATTCACGTAATGGTCCTGTGTAATGGCGCTCAGGTAAGTGCATACGGAAGGACATGGTATCACTAGTAAGGGGTGCGTAAAGAATAAGGTACAATGGCAACAGTACAGAAGTCACCTAAGGAGCACATGACGCTTATACAGTCCCTAGACGATAGAGATAAAACAGATAAAGATCGCTTAGCCGTGATGTAGGAGTTACGGAGTGAGATGAAGAAAACCTTGTATGAGCCCGCAGACTTCTGACGTTACGTTGTCATATTTTGATTAAAAACATTAATTCCGCCGGCTCTAGTAGGCTGGCGGGGATGTGAGGTGCAGGGGTCACCGAGTTCCAATCAAAGAGTAGTGTTGTTAGTTGGGCAACAGTTTCGCTATATATATGTGTGTGTGTGGTTTGTCAGTTATTGGGTTGATGACTAACGCAGCCCCACGCATCAACAGAAATGGAGAAGAATGGTGGAGAGTGAGGAGCAGGGTACAGACTCACATCATGAAGCCCAGTATCGTCAACTCTTACCTGCCCAGGATGGAAGAGGTGGCCAATGAATTCATCGTCAAGTAAGTGTTGAATTGAGGGGAGGGGGAACAGTGTAAGATGATGTACATGGAACTTGTAAGGTTACTCTTAGCCTATGGTGTTAACTATAAGGTTTTTCACTCCTGAACAAATAAATACTGTAGTGTGTGCTCCAGTGTATGTAATATACGTATCAAAATTATAATAAAATTAATACAACTCATGGATCATTTTTTGGGGGGGAAGTTACAATAGAGGTAAACACTGGTAGTTATGATCATTGTTGCAACAAGTAATAAAACGATCACAGTTACAGTAGTTGTTGAATGATAAGGGTAAAATGTTAAGAGCAGATGAGACACTTAAGGCTGAAAAGTCACTTATGCTAGATATTACCGAGATAGTACTATAGACTTGATGAGAACCACACAGACACAAGTGGTCAGAGTAACGAGGAAGACAAGGAGGAGAAGAGGTTAAGTATGCTAAACTGAGGTCAGTATTCCTAGCTCCCAAATATTGATTGATTAGAAGGTATTCCTATCATGGGTCGGCGAGATGTTCCAATATTATTATTACCGGGTTATTATTATTATTATTACCGGGTTATTATTATTATTATTACCGGGTTATTATTATTATTATTATTATTACCGGGTTATTATTATTATTATTATTACCGGGTTATTATTATTATTATTAAAACCGGGTTATTATTATTATTATTACCGGGTTTTTATTATTATTATTATTATTATTATTATTATTATTATTATTTCAACAGGTTAGCTGATCAGAGGGACCACAAGAGAGAACTTCCAGAGGATTTACTGCATGAGTTATTTAAGTGGGCACTGGAATGTGAGTGTTTCTTGTGCTGGTTCTTTATTATATATTCCTTGATGTTTGTGTTGACAGAGTCCTCACTTGATGTTTGTGTTAAGTTATTAGACAGAGACAAATGTCATAAAGAAATATACTAATGCTCGGAGATCGTGGCCATTGTCTTGTGACTGGGTGTAATGGTCCACAGACACACACACATTAATTTTATTATGGTGAATTGTGCATTTATATTTTTGTATATTTATGTCCAATTCCTGATAATCTTCCTCCTCCTCCATAGTGCAATTGAGCAATTCGTCCTCAACAATGATAAAAATAAAGTGAAATTTTTAATTTGTTTAGAGACGAATTTAACACTTAATTTCAATTGTCAAATATAAGACTTAGACCATTTTCGGTTTCTTGAGATGTATATAAGCCTATATAGGTTATATGTAGGCCTATATAAATTGTATTAAGGACTATAAAGTTGTATTTAGGCCTATATTAGTTGTATGTAGGCTCGTAGAAATTGTATATAGGCCTATATAGGTTCAATGTAGGCTTATATAAGGTTTATTTATGTTTGTACAATTTTTATTTAGGTCAAAATATTGTTGATGTAGGGCTGTATTGAGTTTAGGTCGGACTATTTACGGTTTATTTGGAGCTAAACAGGGTTTATGTGGGGCTATATAGGGTTTTAGTAGGCTTTTATAGGGTTCACATAGACATATTATAGATTTTATGAAGGCCTATATAAGGTTTATGTAGGCCTGATTCTTACCTTCTAATGCTCCGTGGCATCAGCCCTGTGTCTGGTGGTCCTCAACAGAAGGGTAGGTTGTCTGGACAACAACGAGGAGGGTCAGCGTATCATTGAAGCCTCGGTGGGCATGCTTAACGGGATAAGTGACTGTGAGTACGGCTTCCAATGGTGGAGATTATTCAACTCTCCAAACCTCAGGCAGCTGAAACGACATCACGATGTCCTTCTTCAGTAAGTTGCCGTATTTTGTGTCTATATATCTAAGGCTAGCACAGATTAAATACCATACTCCATTAGATATACCCTATACCATGTAATGATCTCACACTCTCTACCTAAAGTGTTGCCATGAAGACGATGATCCAAACTAAGAAAGACCTGGAAGCTCGTGAGCCAAACGACGACACAAAGTTAAACTTCCTGGAGTCCCTCCTCGCAACTCCTGGACTCTCGTTCCAGGATGTCGTCATCTTTCTGGTCGACCTCTTGACGGGTGGAATCGATACGGTAACACTTAAGCAATTTTCCCTCTGACTTGGAATCTGTCTTGACTAACTGATTGTTTTCACCCTCTCTGACCTTTGACGTATTTTGGTAAAACTTGCACAATTATTCACTTTTCTAGTACGGAAATTTGATCCTTAATCTAATCTGCATAGAAATTGGGTGCACTGGCCATGTAGATATAACAACTACCTCCTGTCCTAAGGTAAACTGGTTCGATCCCTTACTACTGTCAGTCCAACCAGCTGTAAATGAGTGTCCAAATTTACAGTTATGAATGTAAAGACTGTAGAGACAGAACCAGCCACATTACTTCCTTGGATAAAGAAGGTTCAGTGTACATTGTGTTATATTCACATTGTTGGTGGGATCAAATTTTGCTTTCAGGTAGAACTTGTAAGAATAAACTTTAGATCCTCCTTCGCCAGTAACTTCCTAACTTACTTTACCATTGATATTTTTTAATGTTGACCTTGTACGAGTAAAAGTTTACCTCACATTAACCAATCACGTATGTGTAGACCTTAATGATATACCAGTGTCAGGTGTACTTTCTCACACCTGTCCCCAAACCTCGTGGGAATCGAATCTTCAAAGTTGGTAAAATAATGCCCATTAATTATAGGTCCCACTATAATGACTTCACACAACAAGCATAGGTCATTGCCTGAGTAGTTTCGAAACAAATTGTTCCATACCGATAGGCAGACCAGGAAAGGAGGCGGAGTAGCAATCTATGTCAGGGATAATCTGAAGTGTGAAATAAATAAGGAAATAAAAACTGAGCAGAATACAGAAACAATTTGGATAGAATTAATCGACGGTAGGGAAAAATTAATCATCGGAGTAATAATTATTTAAAGAACATTATTGGCCAAAGGAAGGCTATAGGTAGAAGGATAAGCCGTGGCGAAATTTACCTCCGGGAGTATTATAAGGTATTGGCCGGTAGGGTTAAGACCGAGATAAGAAAAGCAAAGAGGAATAATGAACTGAAGATAGCAAGGGAGGCGAAGACAAACCCCAAAGGATTCTACCAAATTTATCAAACTAAAACACGAGATAAGATTGGACCAATACCTTCAGATACCGGTGGGCTAACTGATAACGACGGAGAAATGAGCAATAATCTGAATAAATATTTTTCAACAGTTTTCACCACCGAAAATTTAAACATGATACCCGAGGCACCGACTCTATTCAGAGATAGTGAAGAAAACAAATTAAGCGAGATAGTAGTGACTAGTAACGATGTTAATAAGCAAATAGACAAACTGAAGCCTAATAAGTCACCTGGTCCCGATGAGATATTTGCCAGAGTATTAAAGGAATGTAAGGAAGAGCTTAGTATGCCCTTAACAAAGTTGTTTAACATGTCATTAAAAACAGGTGTAGTACCAGAATCCTGGAGGATAGCGAATGTAATACCGATTTTCAAGAAGGGGGATAGATCACTATCCTCTAACTACCGCCCAATCAGTCTAACATCAATAGTAGGCAAATTACTAGAATCAATCATTTCAAACTCTATTCGAAACCACCTGGAGAAGCACAAGCTGATCAATGATTCCCAACATGGCTTCACAAGCGGGCGTTCATGTCTAACTAATCTATTAACATTCTTTTCATCAGTTTTCGAATCGGTGGACGAGGGGCACAATTATGATGTGGTATATCTCGACTTTAGCAAAGCCTTCGACAGAGTCCCCCACGAAAGACTAATAGAAAGGTAGAAGCGCATGGCATCAAAGGTAATATCCTTAAATGGATTAGGGCGTGGTTACGGGACAGGAAACAGTGAGTGAGCATAAACGTCATTAAATCGCATTGGGGCAACGTCACTAGTGGAGTTCCCCAAGGCTCAGTACTTGGACCATTATTATTTATTATATACATAAACGATATAGATATCGGCATAGACGGCAACATAAGTAAATTTGATGATGACACTAAAATAGGACGTGTAATTAAATCTGACGAGGACTCTGCAAAACTACAGGAAGATCTAAAAAAAAATTTCGAATGGTCGGAAAAATGGCAGATGAAATTCAATGTGGACAAATGTAAAGTACTCAGTATAGGAGATGTAAACAGGGAAACCAGTTACCAGATGAACAACGATGCCATTGTGGAATCCGACTGCGAGAGAGATTTAGGAGTAATGATAAGTAGGAATCTTAAGCCAAGTAAACAATGTGTTTGTGCTCGTAACAAGGCTAATATAGTACTTGGGTTCATACAAAGGAGTGTTAGTTACAAGACTAGCGAGGTCATCTTAAAATTATATCTGGCGCTTGTGAGACCTTACCTGGATTACGCAGTTCAGTTCTGGTCACCGTATTACAGAATGGATATAGAATCCTTGGAAAGAATCCAGAGGAGAATGACAAGACTAATCCCCGGCATTAGGAACCTTGAGTACTGAGACAGGTTAAAGCATCTTAATTTGCACTCCCTCGAGAGACGTAGAGTGAGGGGCGACATGATAGAGGTGTATAAATGGAAGTCAGGGTTAAACAAAGGGGACATTACAAAGGTACTCAAACTATCCAACCAGGAGCGAACTCGTAACAATGGTTTTAAATTAAACAAATTTAGATTTCTGCGTGAAATAGGTAAACACTGGTTTGGAAAGAGAGTAGTGGATGACTGGAACAAGCTACCAAATATCATCATTAACTCGAATACGCTGGATAGCTTCAAACATAGGTTGGATGCTTATATGAGCAATAGGGGTTGCGTATAAACGGGACTGCCAAGTATGGGTCAATAGGCCTGCTGCAGTTTCCTCCATTCTTATGTTCTTATGAAACAATGAGGTCAGATCTTACACCTCTTGAACAGACCAGAAACCATACGTCACTTGGTTTTTGGTAGACTGTAAATTTCCACGAAGTTGGCTTAAATTTAGTAACTTTCCCTCCATACAACTGATCTACCGATATATCAATACTTTGGTAAATTTATTTTGTATTTAATTAAAGCATGCCAGGAAAAACTATACGTAAAATTTGAGGACTAAACTATTCTTAGGATTTTACTGATGAATTGTAATGCTTCTTTATGAGTTGATGATGTGAGTAAGATGTATCCTGTCACTTAACCTCTAGAATCATATTAATTGGTCTTTTATCCCTGACGTCATAATCCTCCCTCTCTCGTAGACCCCCCCACCTTCTCTTTGTTACCCTTTATACACTTTCACGTCCCGGACCTCCTCCTCCTCCTCCTCCTCCTCCTCCTCCTCCTCCTCCTCCTCCCTCCCTCCCTCCCTCCCTCCTCACTCACCCGTCTCCTGCCATCACTCAACACTGTAAATTAGATCCATAACTCGTATGTACTTTTGATCCTATTCTCTATATTCATGTTTTTTTATTCTATTTATTTACATGAGAACAATTACTTTACAAAACAGATCATGAGAGTTAGACCCCCCCCTTAGCTTGCCTCACCTGTCGATTGAACACCTAAACGTTAATTAAGGGGATAGGCTAGATTAGATTAGGTAAGGTTAAGTTAGATTAAGTTAGGATTTTATAAGGTGAAATTAGTTAAGGTGACTAAAATTATCCTGTGCTCCCCAAACACTGAGACATTATCTGGCTTCCCCTCCCACACAGTCGTCACTGACCACTGTCTTCATCTTGTACCACCTGGCGATCAACCCGGAGAAGCAATCGCTGTTACAGGAGGAGTTGGACCAGGTACTGGGGGATGGTAGCTACCCCCTCACACCACAACACCTGGACAAGCTTAGATACACCAAAGCCTGTATTAAGGAGAGTCTCAGGTGAGGGAGTGTGGGAGAGGGAGGAGGTGTGGGAGGGGGAGAATGTGGGAGGGGAGGAGAGGTGGGGAGAGGTGGAGTGTGGGAGAGGGAGGAGTGTGGGGAGGGGGAGTGTGGGAGAGGGAAGAGTGTGGGAGGGGGAAGGATATATAGTGAAGAAGGAAGGGAAGAGAGAAAGAAAAAATAGAATGAAGGTAAAGAATGAAAGAGGTGAAGAGGGTGAGAATAACATAGGTACAGTGGAGACAAGGATAAATTGACACCAAAAGAGAATTTCCATAAGAACTTGGAATTGAAACAAACACTTACATGTGATACGTGAACATTACGAGAGAAACAGTTTCGTGGAATGACATAATGAACTACAAAAGTACTATGTTTTTTTTTAAGGCTTATCATCATATCTCTATTAGCGTGAAAGACTCGTAAAACAATAATGTATCCATATATGTTTCCAGGATGTGTCCGTTGACGTCAATTCTTAACCGGCAAACCCAGCATGACATCTGCCTCAACGGGTACTCAGTGCCACAGGTGAGTTATTACTGTACCAGTGTATATCATACATGCATACACTTATATGAATCACATACTGTATATAAACAACGTATATGGAAACTACATATACACTCATCAGTGCATAGACATATACACACACATATCGGTACATAATTGTATACAAACATGTGTATTGCTCCAAAAAGTATCTTAACGGAGGGTCAAATGAATTCTAAATGAACACATCGACTCCTGTTGTCTCGGTAGGGTTGTCAAAAGCCTTCATGCGTTGTGTCATATTGTCTCTCACAAAATCGCATAGGTACTTTATGGAGCAAGTGTTCACGTGTGTGGGAGGTTTAGGGTAGCTTTGGTTAGTGTGGTTAACCTCACGGTGAAATAAGCGTGGGGGTCGAATTTTCCATGGATGCAGGTCATGATTGTAAAAAATATGATACACTGTAATAGTAATTAATGAAAACAGTATTGCAGAACCAGGCAGACATTAACACATGACTATAACACCCCCGTTTTGCTCTTAAGATATTTAGTTTGAACATTGACTATCCTGTCTAATGACCTTGAGAGCAGGTCATAAGAGATACTTATTCTTTTTCAGACAACCGTGTTCATGAGTTTAAGTGAAGCATCAAGCAGAGTCCTACTTCCCCAGGTCTTCTGAGTTCTTGCCAGAGCGTTGGTTGAGGAACCATCCGGATCAAGTCACCATCGCTTATGCTTCCATCCCCTTCTCTGTGGGCACCCGTATGTGTGTGGGGAAGGACTGGCTGAACAAGAGATCTGTATCTTGCTAGCTAGGTGAATTATCAGAGCGAGAGATGAGTCTTCATAGCTAGGGGAGTATCAGGGCGAGAAGATGCGAGTCTTTAAGCTAGGGAGTATCAGGGCGAAGATGTGAGTCTTCATAGCTAGGGGAGTATCAGGGCGAGAGATGTGAGTCTTCATAGCTAGAGGAGTATCAGGGCGAGAGAATGTGAGTCTTCATAGCTAGGGGAGTATCAGGGCGAGAGATGTGAGTCTTCATAGCTGAGGAGTATCAGGGCGAGAGATGTGAGTCTTCATAGCTAGGGGAGTATCAGGGCGAGATGTGAGTCTTCATAGCTAGGGGAGTATCAGGGCGAGAGATGTAGTCTTATAGCTAGGGGGAGTATCAGGGCAGAGATGTGAGTCTTCATAGCTGGGGCAGTATCAGGGCGAGAGATGTGGTCTTCATAGCTAGGGGAGTATCAGGGCGAAGATGTGAGTCTTTATAGCTAGGGCAGTATCAGGGCGAGAGATGCGAGTCTTTATAGCTAGGGGGAGTATCAGGGCGAGATGTGATCTTTATAGCTAGGGCGAGTATCAGGGCGAATGAGTCTTCATAGCTGGGGAATATCAGGGCGAGATGTGAGTCTTCATAGCTAGGGGAGTATCAGGGCGAAGATGTGAGTCTTCATAGCTAGGGGAGTATCAGGGCGAGAGATGTGAGTCTTCATAGCTAGGGGTATCGGGCGAGATGTGAGTCTTCATAGCTAGGGGAGTATCAGGGCGAGAGATGTGAGTCTTCATAGCTAGGGGAGTATCAGGGCGAGAAGATGTGAGTCTTTATAGCTAGGGGAGTATCAGGGCGAAGATGCGAGTCTTTATAGCTAGAGTATCAGGGCGAGATGTGAGTCTTTATAGCTAGGGGAGTATCAGGGCAAAGATGTGAGTCTTCATAGCTGGGGGAGTATCAGGGCGAGATGTGAGTCTTCATAGCTAGAGATATCAGGGAGAGATGTAGTCTTTATAGCTAGGGGAGTATCAGGGCGAGATGTGAGTCTTAGCTAGGGGAGTATCAGGGCGAGAGATGTGAGTCTTCATAGCTAGGGAGTATCAGGGCGAGAGATGTGAGTCTTCATAGCTGGGGAGTATCAGGGCGAGAGATGTGAGTCTTATAGCTAGAGAGGGTATCAGGGGAGAGATGTGAGTCTTATAGCTAGGGGAGTATCAGGCGGGATGAGTCTTTATAGCTAGGGGTATCAGGGCGAAGATGTGAGTCTTTATAGCTAGGGGAGTATCAGGGCGAAGATGTGATCTCTTAGCTTGAGGATATCAGGCGAGATGCGATCTTTATAGCTGAAATATCAGGCGAGAGATGCGAGTCTTTATAGCTAGAGTATCAGGCGAGAGATGTGAGTCTTTATGCAGCTAGGGGATATCAGGGCGAGAGATGTGAGTCTTCATAGAGAGTATCAGGGCGAGAGATGTGAGTCTTCATAGCTAGGGGAGTATCAGGGCGAGAGATGTGAGTCTTCATAGCTAGGGTATCAGGCGAGAGATGTGAGTCTTCATAGCTGGGGAGTATCAGGGCGAAGATGTGAGTCTTTATAGCTGGAGTATCAGGCGAGAATGTGAGTCTTTATAGCTAGGGCGGTATCAGGGGCGAGATGTGAGCTTTATAGCTGAGGTATCAGGCGAGAGATGAGTCTTCATGGGAGTATCAGGCGAGAGATGAGTCTTATAGCTAGGGGGGTATCAGGGGAGAGATATTGAGTCCTCATAGCTGGGGAGTATCAGGGCGAGATGTGATCTTCATGGCTAGGAGTTGTCAGGGCGAGATGTGAGTCTTCATAGCTAGAGATATCAGGCGAGGAGATGTGAGTCTTCTGCTAGGGGAGTATCAGGGCGAGAGATGTGAGTCTTCATGCTGAGGGGCGAGTATCAGGGCGAGATGATCTTAGCTAGGGCAGTATCAGGGCGAGAGATGTAGTCTTCTATAGCTAGGGGAGTATCAGGGGCAGAGATGTGAGTCTTAGCAGGGGTTGTGGGGTGTGGTTTTTGTGTGATATCAGGGCGAAGATGTAGTCTTTATAGCTAGGGTGGTATCAGGAGAGGGAGGTGTGATCTTGCGTAGCTAGGGAGTATCAGGGCGAGAGATGTGAGTCTTTATAGTTAGGGGATTTGGCAGGGTTGGGTTTGTGTGGTGGGCAGAGATACTTGGAGTTTAGCTGAGGGTATCAGGGCGAGAGATGTGAGTCTTCTGGGTTTGGGGGTTGTTTCCAGCTAGGGTATCAGGGGAGATGTGAGTCTTTATACTGGGAGTATCAGGGGAGAGATGTGATCTTCATGTTTTGTTGGTTTTTGTGGTTGGGGGGTGTGGTTTGAGCTAGGTATATCAGGGCGAGAGAGTGTGATCTTCATAGCTAGGGGAGGTATCAGGGCGAAGATGGGGTTTTGTTGTGGGGGTTGGTTTTTGGTGTGGGGGTGTGGTTTTGGTGGGTGTGGGTGGTAACATCATTTTGGCCTGTTGTTCTTGCCATCCAGCTAAGTATTTTTGTCGTGTCTCCAAATAACACTGATATTTTTTGCTTTTTTCAGCTATTTTCCAAGTTACAACGTGGAGTAAAGTACGAGGCCATTGAATCACTTTAGACTTCTTTTTTTGACAAATCCAAGAGTTCCTGTGATAGAGCGTCAGCGTTGACCTCGATCGTCCGGTAATGTGCAGTGTACTACGAGTAATATGATGATGTTCTAATTCACTATAATGTTTGTATTCTGTTGGTTGTCTATAGTTTTTTGTAGTGTCTGGAAAGCATAATCTACATATATACATTGAAGCTATATTCAATTTACATGGTTATGATAATTATGTTATTTATGCATAAAAAATGTAGTTTACTTATTCCCTTTTGAGGTTGGAGGTTCTTGGTGTTTATCTAAATGTTTTTGAAAATTTTTGGGTATAGGAAGAAATGTGTTGGCACTATCCTCATAAAAATGGTCTTATAATCAATTTGTTTGCAACAAAAGTGCAATAAACTTGGCGTCGTCTCAGTAAATATGATGAGTTCAATATACCACTTCCTATTATTCTCAGTCCCAATTTTCTTGCGTACCTGTTACTGAAAATGTGTACTCAGAGAGAAGATGAGAGGACGGATTGGTAAATAAAATATCATGTGGCAGGTTGAATTGTGATCGTAGAACATTAATGTTTCATTAACAGTATATATATATATATATATATATATATATATATATATATATATATATATATATATTACTGCCAGATCTGGGTCACTAAATCTAAGGAGATAACTCTAATCTAATTTCTGGTTGCTTTACAAGACCCCTCTGGACCTTGTTAGCTCTGGTTGGTAGTGGCTTGTTGAGGTGAACTGGGCGTTGGGTTAGGTTTTCCATTGATCAGATCGTTATGGGTAAAGGGTGAAACCATATTGTGTCTTCGATTTATTTCTGTATAAAACACTGTTAAAAAACATGAACTGGCCTTTCTCAGAAGAACATTGGGTTTAAGTTTACCTAACTGGGCCCTGACTCTACATTACTGGCGTGATCATCCAACCACTTATTTTGCACATAATGGTGAGCGCATTATCTCGGTCGTTCTTCACTATGTCCTATGTGTCAGACTGTTCACTGGTGTGCTTGTAGCTTCGTCGGTTTATCATACATGTAGCACCATCGCAACACATATGTTACTCCTTTTATGCAAATGTGAGCTCTTGTGGCTTTTGGGTCTACACCAGGGCCCTGTCGTTCACTTGCCCTCGGTGGGTGAGACGAGCTTGATAGAACATACTAGTACTATTTTTACCTGGTATATAGGTCGTCAAGTGACGACCGCAGTTTCTGATCTCCTTGGTTGTGACTAATCATGTTGGGTGGTGCGGAGTCCACCGGTTCATAGTGGAGGCTTAGTGGTGATTAATTCCCCACCTGTTTGTGCTCAGGAGATGGCTGGGCATGATACCCTAACCACGTGGCACCTGTGTTGACGGCGGAACGGGAAAGACTAAGCATTAATGCCTGACGGGCGTTGTCCATCCTGGCGCATCTCTCCATATATATCCGGCAAAGCTTTAAACGTAGTGCTGTTGTTATCGCTTAGTTGTGGGGCGGGATATGGCCCGCTAGAACTTGACCTGTGTTGGCGGCAGAACGGAAAGACCGGGCTTCCGCGCTTTCGTCAGCATAGGCCTACAGTTTCAATCCTCAATTTTTTTGTTTCTTATGGTTTCCTCTGGACATGCGGTGTTAACTCATTTCTTATAAACAGCATTAATCTAACTTATACACTAAGTCAGGTGCGGTTTGCTGGTGGGTTTAAATGCCGGTTTTAATATCAACTTGGGCATCTGGGGCGGGTAGCAGCGCGCCTTGAGAAAAAGCCGAATGATCTGGCGGGGTTGTGTCAACTTGGTAAACTGTAATGGTCTCTCTCACGCATGCACGATTTGTACAGATATCAATTTCGATCACTGTGCCTGTCGTGGGTATATGTCACGTGAGGTTCTAGGTGTATTAAATTCATATAGACGCATACAAGATATTTTTTCCAGTATAGTTTCTAGATCCTGTCAACCTCATGGTTCTGATACATTTATCCCTTTTTTCCGATCATTTTCATGTATTTTCATTGATATCTGTTGAGTTGAGTTGGCCACGCTCACAGTTGTAAATAGTGGGACATTAGCCTGTGCACTTAGTCTTATGGTGCCCTGGTCTCGTGTCCCAACTGGACAACGTTCATCTTATATACCTGGGTGATCTTTAATGCTATGAATACACACTTGGTATGATGTTAACTGCCTGGGGTGCAGTACGGTTCAGGAACCTTGAGTAGGTGGGTTGTTATTTCTCAA